GTTTTGTTTTGTTTTTGGTTTTTTACTAATCAGACGTCAGTCGCAATACGCACCAGGAAGACAGTTCTCCTTGAGTGGTATCTAATTTTATGTTCTTGAATTAGTTTTTCAAATCAAGCAATTTGTTAAAGTTTATTTTTCCTTTCGTCAGGTGTTTGAAGTCAAGCGCCAGATGAGGTCTGTGTCTGATACTGGCTCCCAATCCCCTTCAGCTGCGTACTCAAACGGCAGCGCAATCCCGGCCCTGGATCATGAAAGAAATGACAACGCTGTAGTTGTGTAGCGCAGGCTTAAATGTACTGCTTTCCAATGTACTTAAGAAGAAATAAGCGTCGCTGTACTTCTAAGGGAGATGGTCTCTTACTTTAACAGGCCGTTCGTCTCTTCGATATGAAACAACCTTCGCTGTCAGTTTTTTTCCAGCTTCAGTTACTGGTCGTAGTTCCCAAAATGCTAAAAATGTGATTGTTATAATCGTAAACCGTGTTGTCTTGCGTTGTACTCCATATTGTATACGTGACCCAGTTATAATTATCTCATATTTTGACATTCTTGTTTGTCAGGGTTGCTGTCTAGTTGTTTGAAAAACCAAATGAAAGAAGAACACAAGCAATGAAAAAAAAAAAAGTAAATATGAAATCTGCATTACAAAAGCCGGGCATATTTCAATCTTGCTTTCCGATAATTTCTCAATCCCTAAATTTCAATTCCAAATTCCACGCATCTTAAGGAAATCAATGTCACACAACGGTCTTAGCTCGAGACTATAGCGTGGCGTGACAAGTTTGGAACCGACTATGACCAGGCCGCTTGATTTGGCAAGGGGTTAATATTTGGAGTAGAAAGCTTTTGGGTAATTTAGTTCATGAACCGGGCAGGTCTTTCAGTTAGTGACGATTGTGTACTAATTGTAAATAAAAGTAATTAAGAGAATCGTGTATTTCCGAAAAGGAGAAGTTTGATTGGTATTTGATAACAAATCCTAAGGAATAAAGAATAGCTCTCCCTCGAACTGTATTAATAATTTTGCACTTAGAAGCGTCAAACAATAAAATGCTATTTCTCCTTGGCCTTCGACTGCATTTTCACTCCATTACACTGAATGAGAACCTGGAACGATCAACCCTCTTGCTCGAGTAAGGAAAAAAAAAACACTAAAAGCAAAGCAGCAAAATGATAATACTACATCTTCTGCCTCCGTGAATTTTCTTTTCCTTTCATAGACGATTAAAGACGTTTTTTCTCAAGGTTGTCACTCTTTCTATTTCCAAGGGCAACCAATACAAGCTAGCAGCTTTAAAAAATCAAATGTATGGCTTGTGAAATTCACAGGTGTGATCCCTGTTACAGCAATGTAACGGTGACCCGACCATGGCCATCTGCATTATAACAACATTCACTTTGCTGATCTTTTCCAGCGTTGTAGGACCCTCCTCCGCCCCCACAGGAATCGAATTCATTATCTCCACTGCTCCCCCCGGAGTATCCGCCTCCTCCTCCTGCGCCTGCTGCATACCCGTAAGAACCACCACCTCCTCCAAAGCCACCCACGATAGCGTCATATATGGCCCTTCCACCCACTCCACCCTGAAGAAATCCTTTACCACCCTCTCCACCATATCCCATGGAACCACCAAAGCTCTTTGAACTTCTTCCACTGGTGTAAAAACCGCCCCCGCCGCCACCTCAAATAAGAGTAACAAATGAATTGAAGATATTGCCGATTTTCACAGTCACACTATTACTAAAACCATGAAACTAATAAAGTCAAGAATCAAAGATAATATAGGATTAATATAATATTCAAACAGTTTTGCTCCCGCTCTTCTGAGGTCTCATAAAGATCTACATGATAAAAGGACTGTTGAGATCGCGAAATCTCAGTAGATAAGTCACTTTTTTAACTTTCATGACAGCATTTTAATATCGTGTCACGCAAAAGCTTAGATACTCAACCTTGCTTCATCATCAGACGAAAACCCGATAAAACTGAGAATTTGCAAAAAATATGTCTTCAACAAAATAATTCCTTATTCATAATTTTGATGACGTCACGTGAAAACCAAGAATTCACGAGAGAACAGAGTTTCGAGTTGCAGTATCCTCTTGCATACGGAATACCCTAGTCCGGTCTAAAATGTAAAACTATCCAAATGCTGTATATTACTCTCGATTTGGCGATGTCGCAACAGAGGGTATTGCCTGAACATTCGGACGTTAATTAACAGACGGTGGAAAAATTAATCATGACTTTGAAACCGTCTACAAGAATAAGTTTGATGTAAGTGAGATGCGACAAACTTTAGGGACACCTTAAGCAGACGTCAAAAAGACCGCTATCTGATATTACCTGAATTGTGATCATCAGCAATCTGTGCACCATGCCCATTACTCCCTCCTGACCATGATCTGTACCCAGGATTCCCCGATGTGCCTCTGCTGGCATCGCATCCGGG